TTGAATTATGAGACATTTTTTCTACATTTCTGGCAACAAACAGAATTGTTATTTATGAATTGGTAGCATTTCAAGTACTTTAAAAAGGGGCTMAATTTGAAGGGAAGGCAACATTTAATTCTTGAAACACTTCATGTGAAATAGACTGCGAGTAGAAAGACTTTCTTTAAAAAGAACCTTTTTTTTTACATAAAATATTGTGCTGAATGAAAGTGTTGGACATGAACTGATAGGCACCCAAAAGTGAAGGTAATCTATTGAGACTAGTGTCACTCCTTTACAGTAAGGTTTTGGTATTTGAGTGCTGTGTTAGATTTCAGCAGTTTTGGAACCTTTCCTGAACTGGAGAAGATTTTAAACTAGATATTAGGAAAGGTTAAAAGCAGATAGCCTGAACATACTTATGTCTGAAAGTGTTTAAAAATCTCTACAAATTTCCAGAATATGATAAAAATTACCATTTTGGACACAAGTTAGATAAGCTGAAAATTTGAAATGATCTCATTTAATTTCTCTCTTCCAAATTTTTGAAAGTTCAGTTATTTACTTCTYTGTGTTTGAGTTTTGACAAACATCAGGGTCTTTGCTTTACTTCTGTAAATGCTTTCATGTAACATTGTGCTCCTAAGTCTTCGAATGTGTAACAGAAGAATCTCAATTTGCTGCTTAACCCAGTAAATTACAAGAGGACTTTTCCACATCTCTGACTTGCAATGCTAGTGGCAGTTTACCGAGATGCATCTTTTCACGGCCTATTTGTCTGATATGTTGAACTTTGGATCAATTTTACTGTAGAAAAAAGGTGTTTGGTGAGATTTTTAAGAGCTTAGCATTTGCTCTCTTTACTCAGTTCACAGCTTTCCTCCTCGGATTGAAAGAATCCCTTAGGCTGGGTTTAAGAGCAAAATTTGTAACCACTTTGTGGGAGCTTAAACTGAAATTTCTGCTTAATTTTCAGTCTGAAGTGCAGTAATCTTTTTTTGAAAAGAAACTAAGAAACACCAGCCTCAGAGTAGAACTCTTCTTAGAACATGGCAATGTCTAATAACCTCAGATCGTTTTCCTCTCCTGCTCCATTCATTTAAAATAATTTTAAATCGTAATACTTCAAATCACAGACACCAATTTTAGAGTATCATGGAATGTCAAATATATGTTTTATTAATTTTAAGTGCTTGAGGATTAATGGATTATCCTGAGCACACTGAACTTGCAAAGCAGATTGCCTTTAAGCAAAGTCAGAGAGTATCAGTTGGAGTTTACAGTTACATCTCTTTTGGCTGTGCTAATTAGTTGCTTTTATCATTCAAAGGCAAGAAAATTAATGTACTTCTCAAAACATTAGTACAAATAGCTTTGTGAACATTAGGCAAAAAATACTAGGTTTATTTGCACTGATCTTCTTGATATTGTTGTCTGGGCAGACCTGGATTCCAACTTGGATCTTACCCTCACTTTCTTATTTCCTTCAGAGCTAAAGAGCAAGAATTTGCAGAGCTGTGTTAACCTGAGGTGGGAAACTCTGGCAAATGGTTTCTTGAAGCTTTCAGGAACTAAATTACTTCTGAGAACYCTACCTCATTGTTAAGTTTGATTTAAATCAGCACTAGGTGCTATAATTTTCAGAGAACACATACAGGCGTCTACAAAATATAATTGCGTAAGATGCACAAATTGTCCCTGCACAGAGTGTTTTTCACTTTTAACTTCCTTTATCAAGTGCTTGTGTTTCATAAGTCRTGTGATTACTGGGCAGGTTTACTGCTGCCATGCAGAGTATATAATGTTTGACGTCTACCTAGTTTTCCTGCAATATGTTGCATCTACCAGCCCTAAATTTACCAAAATATACCAATTTTCCTAAAATTTGTTGCCACTTAATCAATGAGTTCTTTATCTCTCTGTCAAATTTAGCTTGTCATGGTTGAGGTTTGAAATCTGGGCAAACAGTCAAAATGTACAGATAAAAGGAASGTTTCTGTGTGCTCCCTGGCTTTCTGTTTGTCTGGAAATATCACTAAGAAGTCTGTTCTAACAGACTCTCCTGTTGTAGTTAAATACAAGAGTGTTCTTCATAGTGTGACTGGTTGCAAGGCAGGAATTGTTAAATGCATGACAATATCATGTCTTTAAAACTTGAATGCCAAATTGAACTTCATCTTTTCCATGTTAACCAGCATTTGAGATTATATTCATTTCCTGATTTAGTAAACATGCCAAAGCCTTCCATTAATACTCTTTCCCAAGGACCTCAGATATGTATTTGTAAGCTGGAAATAACACGGTGAATATGAGTTCTCCTAGGACTGAATTAACAAATCATATCACAAAATCTTTGTAAAGGGAAGATATGGACAGTCTTAAGATGCAACAATGCTGTATATACTTCATGTTCATCTAAAAGTGCATGGGATACATTGAGAACCAGAATATTCCAAGATACTTGAAATGCTTTCTTTTGAGGACTTCTAAAACTTTAAAGCAAGGATCTAAAGCAAAGTGAAATTAAATGAGAAATTCATTTTCTTCCCATCTTGTCCAAAAATCCAGCCATTTGTGCTCTATTTCATTTTGTGCTAACAAGTGACTCCTTTACAGTATACAACTCTTTAGAATAATTTGAATTTGACATAACAAAATTTTTCATATTGAGAAGAAAATTAAATTAGTTAATTTTTAGAGACAGATGTAATTAAACCATCTAGTTAGGAGTGGGAAACTTTTGGGTTCACATCCTTTCTCCTTTGGAGTTTTTATTCGTTTTATTCCCTTATATATAAAACATAAAGTCTCTCATGGGAACAGGACTTACCTGTACCTGGCTGAGCATTCTAACCATTGAACTAAAGCTTTCTGTTAGCCAGCAACATAACTTGAACAGCATGGCTGGAGAGAGTACCCTTTCTTCCACAGTTTTGTGCATTTAAAAGGCAACAGCCTGGCTGACAAAGCATTGTTTTATGAGTCATGAGTTTAAGTAGACTTGAACTGAAAAGGCCAATTCTCTTAGTCCGGTGCAAATGTTATAGCCATTAGGGCTTTCTGTAGAACACCCTTGTACRATTAATGTTTGAAATCTCTAGTTTGATGTCTAGCACAGTTTTATTTTTGCCCCATCCTGGTATCAATACGCATCCCTGATAGACTTCAGCATTAGTTGCATGAGCCATTTATTATTTGACATGTCTAGTTCATTTGCCTAAGTCAGTCACCAAGTACAGAAAGGAGGACTGAAAGGAAACTGGAAGTATCTTTCTGTGAATTTATYTGTTTCTTTTTTCATAAAGAAATCAATGAAAGAGGTATCAGCAAATACCGTGGTACTATCTATCAAACCTTGAGATGGATTCCCTGTGGTTTTGTAGCATGGTCAGTTATGGTCTGAAGTACATGCCTGGGTATCTGCCCCTGTCTCTTACCAACCTCATGCTCTGCCTTTATGGGTTCTTGCCTGGGGGCTTGAGACTTGTCCTTGCAGAATGTAACTGCAYAACGGAACTTTTAACCCGGAGTGAGTGAGAAGACTTTCTAATTTGCTCTCTTACCTCACCACAATCTCTGCTTTCAGCCATTTGCCCCCATACAGGACTGTGCAGGATGGCACTGAAGATACAGGAATGTTATTGTGGATAATGCAACAGTACAAGTTTGCAATTATATTGATATTACTTAGTATTACTTAAATTTAAAATAATTACATTATCCATCAGTCTCTGATCCTACCTGATTCAAAGGCAGGGTCAATTATGCGTAAATCATTCTTGACAAAAGTTCATCTACATGCCTAGGTAATGTTGTAAAAGTCTGCCAATAATTCTGCCTAGCAATTTAAATTCTACAAGATTATTTTGTAGACTTATGAGATTATTTTTTTAATGGCTGGTAATGATTTTAAGACTCCCTCTTTTCAAAATCTGTTCAGCTTTACAACATAAATATATTTTGGGTACATTGTAAATATTGTGTATTTTTAATACATCAGGTGAGACTAAAATTTACCCTTTGCATAGCTAATGGATATTTTCAAAGGCTGTCAATAAATATCAGAGAAACCATTTAATTGTAACAATTTAAAAGGTTTATTTTGTAAATGTAGATATATGAAATGTAATTAAAAATAGTAAAACATAACTTCCTCAATTAATTTTGGTGTAAAAAAAWAATAATAAAATTGTCTGAAGGTATAAGAAGTTTTCAAAGAAATCTCAACAAGTCAATAATTAATCAGGTGAAGTTGTTGGGAAAGATCTTTAAGGATTTAGTAATGATTTAACCTTTCATGACTCAAAAATACCATGAAGAACTTCAAGACACACACAAAGACAAAATGATTGGKAAGATCATGCTCTCTCACTTAGCCTGGAACAATGTTTATACATCAAAGTTACTTCTCTCAACTTTGCACTGTGTGAGTCTTTTCTGTTGTTTCCTTCTATTTTCTGAGGGAATCAGTTTCTCACAAAGGTACAGTCACTGAATAAACGACTAAAAACTACTTATTTTTTAATGCTGAAATAAGAGATTAATTCATGCTAAACAAAGGTTTCATACTATGAAGCTGGAAGGAACCCTTGTGATCATCTAGTAACATATGGATTTTTCATCCAGATGACTACTTTGAGTGAATTTCTTTGTCAACCAGAGCTAGCGTTTTGAAGAAAACACCCCTTAATAATRCTATTTACTCAAATTTTAATTCAAGCCTAGTGGTACAGCACATGGCTCATTAATCATATATTCCTGAAACACCCAAAGACTGCTGAGATTTCCCTTATTGCCTCATCCTTCACAGTTGGAATTCTCTCTTAGGTCAGAACAAACTGAGGTGTTATGAACTGGACCTGGTACAAAAAGCAAATCTGAAGACCCTTGTGTGTATGCATATATGTGTAAATAGATTTTTTTTTTTATTAAAAGCCTGACTTTTCTATCTATCTTACGGTTCCATTTAAATGAAGACAAAGGCAGCCGAATCTTCAAATGGTGTTCCTGTTTTCAAGGGTGTTGGCCAACCTGAAGAGCAGTGTTCCCAGTGTTCCTCTGCTTCACCCTTGGCAATGAGTTCAAAAAGGAAGGCAGAGAATGAGAATGGACCAGCTGAGCGTATTGTGCACAGACACAGAGGCATCACCTGCTCCGTGGACAATGCTTTGGACCACATTGTGGGGCAGCTCGATACGTTAACTCTAGTAAGTATGCAATAACACTTAAGTGCAAAATCACAGTGCTGTCGAAGGGCAAAAATACCCTGGAATCATCTTCATAAATGAGAACATGAAAGACTATGGGGTTATTTTGAATAGTTGTATAGTCAACTTGACTGATTTGGTGTTTTTCTTTCAGAAAATATTGATTGTATGTAATGTGTTTGCTAAATTGAAAGCTTCCTGATGCATAATTGTAAAGGTGGTTGTTGTATTTTTAACTCTGGGTGAAGGGAATCACTATTTTTCAGTAGTGAGATCTAGGGTAGTTTTGTCAGAAGCCAGTTGTCGAATTCCAGCTGGAACAATTATGCACTATCAGGGGATGAACAAAGTAAATTGGTAATATACCATTAAATCCCTTTTCAAACTTAGTGTGTGAGGTGTTGGCTTAGGTAGAAATCTAAGCAGTGGAATAAACCCTAGTGTCAGTGAAACTGCACAAATACTAGTCTCAGTCATGACTCTGAGTCAGTTGTTTGCAAATATTCAGTACTTCTTTATAGTAATCCAGATTTACCTTATGTTTTAAAATGCTACTTTGCAGTCTGTAATATATTAACATTAAATCACATCAAAAGGGAGCAGCTAAGGGTTTTTTCTGTGTTCTTTTGCAATATATATGTTAACTAGGAAGAAATAGGTTTTGGGAAGTATGGAGTCAAGTCATGAGCTGAAAATTATTTGTATAGTAAATTGGATGAATAAGAAACTGCCACCCTGGGTCCAAAAAGCTACTTTTTTTCTGATTAAGATAGTCTCTTAGAGAATGAATGCCTTTTAATAGTATATTTTTTTCTCACCTACTTTTGTTGGCAATGCCTTAAAAGTTTCTTTTAATTTTTTAGAAGACATCATGGTCACAATGATGGCTGGTTTTCTATTGAACTATGGATACGACTTTCATATAGTATTTCAGAGCAATTTACATTATGCATATATGTATTTCTCTTAGAGAAAATGTTTTTTGAAAACAATTAAAAACCTTTAGACAATCTCCATGGATGTGAAGCCATGATTTTTAAATACAGTTGTAAATAAATAGTGGAATAGCTAAGCCATCTTACAGGGTTTTTTTCCCTGTTGAGTTAAAATTACTTTTCTTATTGTTACTACGTCACGTGCTTTTATAATGCTGTGTTAGTAATATAAAACCAACTGAAATGATTCTCTTCTTCATGCAGACTATTGCAATCCTGGAACAACGTCTGGCTTGTACCGAAGATAAATTGAACGAATGCATAAAAGATCAGCAAAAAGTGTTACTTAAGGGAAAACAGAAAAAATAAAATACAAAACTGAACTATACTGATGATTATGTTTCATAAAATCACAAGGAATGTTTCTTCACTGGATTTTGCTTTGAGCAGAAACATCAAATCAATGTAATAAAAACTGAAGAAATTTAAARAAGACTTTCAAGGATTGGTAGCTCTCAGCAGATATTCTGGTTATATATTTAATGAAGTGTAGCTCAATCAAAACTAGTATTTTTTAAATCATTTCCATTGAACATTCTAGGACTCTTATTTSAAGCTAATAAGATCTTTGATTATAACTAAGCCACTAATTATGTATTTTTGGATGAATAGCAGTTATTATGCAAGTTACCACTATGCAGGTTTTTAAACTCAGGCTAGGATTGTGAAAATAATGTCCTTTGTGCTAAGGCAACATTATTTAAATTAAAGTAAATTAATTTACCTACATTAAATAAGATGTAATACCAAAAATGCCAGAGATGTTCTTTGTCCCATACATATTCTCAAGTATTTTACCAAAAAGTGGTGTGTTATTCTATATCTTCTAAATATTTTAGTAATAATTGCAAGAAGATGTAGTGTAWAAACTTTCAGTTACAAATACAAAAATTAAGTCACTTAAGTTTTGAAGCTATAATTGCATCTATGTAAATTCAGTTCCAAGACTGATGCATTTGAGCACTTCTGCTTACCCTATCAAAATTAATTTTTCRTATTTAAAAAAATAAAAATTAACTTTATACTTCTGAAGAACATATTTGAACCAAACACAAAATGATGCAAAATCGAGGTCATAAACACAAAAGATTCTTATCCTGTGAGAATGTCCACGTGTGCTCAAGCTTTGCATGCTATGAATGTACCCCATCAGGTATTGTGAATGCAGACATAAGTCAGGAAAGACTTTGCAATGTATGATAAGTTTAGTTTTATTTTTAATAAAATGCAATTCTTAGATGATTTTAGCTATTTTTYAAAAATTATTAAATTATTTTTCCATTAATTTTTAATGTAAAAGATCTATTTTCTTTATGTCTATTATTTTTTAGATGGCAATGGCAGGACACCTGTTGTAAATCCCCAGTCAAAACAAGGTAATCATCCATTTCCGTAACTTTACATGTGTGTTACAAAATAGGACACTTGAAATGGGGGAGCATTTTAATCCAATTCTGCAACTGACTGTATATAGATAAAGCCCATTTCCCAGGCTGAACCTCATTAACATCAATAGAGTTCAGCTTAAGTATAGAAGCTCACTGTGCAAATACGATTGCAGTTCAAGCCACAGAAATGTGCAGTCAATTTTTCTTGTTTAACTTCTCATTTTCTCTCTCAGCAACCACCTTCATTCAGATAGCCAGACATCACCTCACTTCCTTGGTTAACTCTGATTTTTACCAGTAGGTRCTCCATATTTGCAGCTCAGTCTTAAGTGCTACTGTTTATGGCAAAGAAGCAGTTTCTCATAAAATTTTTGGATGCAACTATTTCTAGGCAGCATCCTAGCCACATATTTTTTGTCAAAGAATGATCTTACATATTCCAGCCTGACCTTTGACTATGCAATTGTTATACTACTATATAACACAAAGTTATCTAAATGCTGTCTTTTAGATCAAATGTACTCTGCTTTATGAATTTGCAAATACTCTTGTGGTCTTTGTCTTTTCTTCTTGTCTCCATTTGAAGACACAAAACCATGTAGCTATTAAAACCTTTATTTATTTCTTGTTTTCTCTTAGTGGACTATATATGTATGTATATATAGGTCTGAAATCTGCCGAGTTTTCTTTTGAGTCTTTTCTGGATTATTTATGAACAAGTTTCAGATATTTCTTTAACCTCTGTATTTTTAAATAAAATCTCTGCTGAAATTTTCCCTTCTGCCTTAGCTCCTGTCACTAATCCTTCTTCCTTTTCAGTACCTATTATCTGAAGCACTTACTACTTAATCCAGTTTATTCCTCTGTTGTTGTGAATCAGGTGAACCAACATAACATTTCCAAATTAAAACATGTTGTCATTCTATTGGTGGTCTGTTGATGCTGAAAATCAACATGACACTTAGGATGTCGGGTCATGGTTGGCTGGAAACAGGGTGGGTGTGTTTTCTTCCCAAGCTGTGATGGCTGCCCTAAAGCATATCCACAACCAAGCTAACATGATGTTTCTTTTAAAAAAACATTGATGTGGGTAAGTTATCTTATTCTTTTGATCCATACAGTTTCTAATAACTTCTAATAAAGTTATGGAATGGAAAAATTTCCTTTAAAAGCACCTGTCAAGGCTAGTTAAACTCTCAGAAGCATTTACTCTAGGGTTTTACTCTGCCAAATGACTGGTGACTTGACTAATTTGAATTATAAAACTAGAAGAAAATGACTGGTGCCTTAGTTGTGCATTTGCACCATGTGAAAAAATAATTGCATGAGTCTTTAAATTATGGAAATTAGATCTGTATTGCAGAGTGTAGAGAAGTACTGAGAGCCCAGACTTGTTCTAAACAAGCTGAGCAATGTACCTGATGTGGTACAGCTTTCCTCAGGCTAAATTATCCCTCTGATACTAAATATAAATAGGCCACCCTCTTGGAGAAAGACTGCTTCCAGCATTCAGGGCCTGCTACTGCAAAAAAGGCTCAATTACATATTGAAAAGAATGACACGTAGTAGATCCCCAAGGTTTGTGTGTCGRGAGAGAGAAGGTGGCTGCAGGAATAGTTGTTGCTGGGAGACTGTCTCTGGAGAAACCCAACTTCAAATTCTTCAAGTGTCAAAGTGCTGTGCAGCAGCTCAGCAGCTCATTGCAACATACTTCAGCAGACATTTCAAACCAAAAATGCTCTTCCAAATTGAAAGAAATGCTACCAGTTGTTACTTCAGCATKCACTTTTTGCTGTTATTGACATATTTTTTTATAAACTTAAGGTTTTGGAAAACCAGTTCTCGTAGGTGAGTGTATCTGAACAATACCCTTCCCTTTGGGGGATTTTTTTCTTGCTTTTATACATGTAGGATAATATTTAGTTTATTCATTATCATCTTTATGTGGGAAATCTAAACTGTAGTTTTTAGTTTTGATTATAYTAATCTTCTGGCTGAAAAATGGTGGTAGAATAGATTCTCATTGTCATTTTAGGATGTCCTGAACACATCCATTTAGGATGAGGGATTTGAAAAATGCAATTTACCATCTTTATTTRTATTTACTTAAATAAATAAACATACTGTACTATTTTTAGGGAAAACAATGTTCTTTTTTCTTCCTAGAAGTCTTTTTACAGTATGGCTGTGTTATTATTGAATGAAAATTAATTCTTTTCCTTGCCATATCACAGCATAAAATCACTTGATTTTTCTACTATGTGACAGTAGTCAGGATGTGGCTATTTCCAGGGACATAGCTTTATGTAACCTGTTCACCTTGTAAGACTTGTAAAAATCAGAAATTCTGTACCCATTGCCCCCAACAATTAATGAATATGTATGTTCACATTGGATCCAGGAACAGTATGTTTTTGTCAGAGTACCCCCTCAAGGACTTTTGCACGCTTCGGATGCATAATACAATTGAAGCCGTTTCTTTGTGAGAAAATAGGTTAATGACTTGCCAAAAGGCAGATGTTAATTGGAAAAAGTGCATACAAGCCCTTTTCTTTACAATGTATATGGGTTGCATTTGTTATGACTTGCATCCAAGAACAGGTGCAATTTCAATTGACTCAGCTAACAGGATGTGCTGAGTACACTCCTCACCAATTTCAACAGACATTTTAAATCCAACAGAAAAAAAGAATATCTAAACTAGTCAGTGAGTGATAAGCTGCTTTTATTAACTGTTACAGAACATATTTATAACTTAATATTTTACCTACAATTAAACATCTTAGTAATATGAAATCAAAACCTTTTATTGTTTATTAGTATTGTCAAATTTTACTGCTGAGCACTGAGGAACCATACATGAGACAAAATGTGCTACGCTTTCTAAATTATTTTTTTAAGACAGTAATTCTAGACAAAGTACTACCAGTGTATTTGTAAATGAAAATTAAAGCAGAAAAATTGTCTTTTTTGCTAACGCRTTTCCTGCCATGAAGCTACACAATCAGGTCAAGGTCTTTACCTTGCCTTGCTTCCTTTTCCCACTGTTAAGAAGCAAAAGTTAATGAAAATGGTGGAAAAAACTCATCTGAGTGTGTCAGGGTCAGAAGAGCTGCTGTTTGATAGTTCTGTTCAGAGGTCTCTGGGAATTGCTAGGCTACTCATGCATGTYCACTGCAACAGGAACTTTGGTTTTCGATCCATGTCTAGCCTAACCTCATCCTTCAAAAGTCACTCACCTGAGGAGGAGTGGATGTGAAATTGGGATGCAGCAACAGTCTAAACCAGYGCAGGAAAATCTAGTTCAAGATGCAGCATTGTTATTAATGGGCGTAGTGAGGCTGCTGATGACTGGGGTCRTGTGATTTTCCCATGCCTGTAGCAAGGACCTGCTCAGTGCTCTTGCAGAAGCAGGAGTGGACTGAGACTGTCAATGCCATGTAAATACAGAACTCTGCAGCTCCAAATAGTACTTAGGTTTGTAAATCCTGCTATGGCCTGTGTCCTTGCAGACCTGGGCAAGAGAGGGCAGAGCTGCTAAAGAGGAATCAATTTCCAAAAGAGAAGAAGGAAAGACAACCATTGATTGTCTTTTTCATCTATATGTGCTTTGTATTGTAATGAAATAGTACCTCTGTCTTGAGGTTTTATCTCCTCTTAATCCCCAGAGGAAATCCCCTCTCCTTTTAGAGAGATAAGGACGCARAAGGTAGCAAGAGCTGGGATTCCCTGTGCTAAAGGGTGTCACTGACCCCTCTTCTGGCTATAGTAGTGGAAGCCAAAGGCTTAGGGTGCTTATTCCAACACTTGTATTGAATGTCAATTCTYGTAAGATTCAGAAAAAGATTTATAACATTCATAAACAAAGCAGGTTTGTGTTAATCTGCTGTTTACTGGGACTTTATGAACAAGTGTCAGAGACACAAGTCTGGGAAGGTCAAAGCAGTAAAATTCTTTCTTTGATTTCTTCTAAGAAGGATTCAGGTGAGCCATATCCAAAAGATCTTGCTGCTTTGTGCTACCTGCATCTTGTGCATCTCAATTGGAAACATTTAAGATGAAATGGGCTTGGTAGTAAAAAGAACAGGGGCAATGCTTTCTCATGTATGCAGTAGTTGAACACTTTTTAATTAATATTTTCAACTCATGATACGTGTCAGGACCACAAGACCCAGGATGTTTGCTAAAGCCTAAAAAGGGTAATTTGAAAGAGCAAAATGAGATGATAAGTGATGGTTTCTGACTATCAGTGCAAGCTCTGCACTGACTCCTGAGGGTATTCTGTTAAATTTCAGTGATGCCACACCCAGATTTGAGGTTGTGAGTGAGAGCTGGGTTTAGCCCTTAGCCTATGACTTGAAAATTCTTGTATTTCACAAAAACAGCTGTCACTTCTAAGAATATTATATAACTGTGTTAAAATGCTATTAACTTTTCATTTAGGCAGTGAGTCTAATCATGCAAAACATAGCAGTTTACAATATTTGATTGTATGTAACCATACTGAGTGATTTCAGTCTGCTCTGATGTCTCTTTACGGCTTCATTGCTGAAACACTGTGAGCTTTGGTGCAACTTCTGCAGTCTATTCAGTATAGACCCAGCCTATAAATAGCTGCATTACTGAAAGACTGTGAGAGACTCATTAGAGAAGTTGTGAAAGTCTCCTCCGAGCCAGGGCTGATACAGCACCACTCCAAATTACCAAAGAGTTTCAGCATGTGGGTAAGACTAAGCATGAAGCTGGGATTTTGGCCATGCAGCAGCAGCAGTGCTGCCCCCCTGAGCTCCCCTCTGCCCGCCAGGCTCTCACAAAGCCCAGTGTGCTTCTTGCTGGCCCTGGGCACAGGGACAAAAGCACAGCCTGTGGAAACTCGATCTTGTCCAAACGAGAGGCGGGACATAGCCAGGGCGTCTGCTGGGGTCCAGGGCCGCAGGACATCCTGGCGATACCCCTCCCCGCCAGAGCGGGCGCGGCCAGGGAGATTTGTCATCTCAAAATGACACGCAGGCATCGCTACTTTGCTGACTCAGTAGGAAGTCACCGGCTGAAATCGGTGGGACTTCTCACATGATTGAATTTGCATGCTGGAAATGTCCTAATCTTGCACACTGTGTTTACCTAACTTGGGGGCAAAGAAAGAAAATTTGAATAGCAACTGGTGTCTGTTTTCTTTAAAGGTACACAAAAAATGAATACAGCCATTTAACTTGAGCTTCTGGCTAGTTTAAAAGGATACTTTGCCCTTTATTTCACAGTTGCCTGAATTAGAGGCTCCCACGTCTGACTCTGGTTCTCAGGTAAATGAGGAGAATGTTGGACTTGGTCCACAGTTTGGATGCAGCCTCCTCTTTTTGGGTACTCCTTTGGAAGAGATGCGAGAACAAGAGAGGTTTCCAGTATCATTTAAAACCATAAAAGAGGAAATACCACTMATCTTGTCCTTTTTTAATTTATAAATAAAAATGCTGTGAGCTATCCAGGCATTCAAAGTTGAGTGTATGTTTTTTACATTTCTCTCTTTTCTCTAAATGCTCTGGTTTGTCATTTCAAAGTGAGAGACTTATGCCCTTGTTAGAGAGTCTCAGTTTTGGGGAGAAATTACCAGTATTTTTCTATCTAACAGGTTTAGTAGGAACAAGGAGGAATTCAGAACTAACAACATGTAATATCTGAAAAATGCTATTCAGACTGAAAAGATGATGGATACAATCAAATTACTTCATTGTCGTGCAAAACCTCACCATTCTTTTTTATGTTTGTGTACACTGTAGGGTAACAAAGCCTCCAAAGAGCCTCCAGCACTTGTGGAAAATCAGACTGAAATGCCCGTGGGCTCATTTTTAAGATTTGCTCCATATAAGGAGAAAAATATATAAAATATACCTACAAAAATATATAAAACATAGGCCATTAATGCTAGCTATGACATACCCAGTTTCTTTCTTCTTTTTTCTTTCTTTTCTATTTTATTATGTAAGGAACGATTATGCCATAAGGAGCACTGGCTGGGAGGTTTCCAACAGCCCAGGGTTTTGTCAGAGAATGCYGATTTGTCGTCAGCAAAATGTTTTGCAGAAGAGTCTCTGTTTGAATGAACTTCCGATGAAACACAGGGCAGGTTTCCATCATAAGCATGCCTGACTTCCTGCCAGCTTGCCTGGCAGCTTTCCAGGCTCCATGGCTCCAGGATGGCTGTGGACTGAACCTGTGATTCTTCCTGACTTCTTTTGCTTCTTTTTTTTTTTTTTTTTTTTTTTTTTTTTTTTTTTTTTAATTAGAGGGAAAAGGTCTTGACAGAAATACACATATACACATTGGCTCTGCCTGTCTTTTTCTGATTGTTCTGATTGTGTCTGTAGATATTTTGATAGTAAGAACCTTGCATAGCCCAGTCCCTTGTTTTGTTATGTGGGAGACCCATAGCTGCCTTCCTCTCTTCCTGAGAAACTGCTCAGGTTAAACTGCCTTGGAAGTGCAATATTTTTCATYCCATCTTCATTTCTGAGCATTTTCAGGAGACCTCTCAGGGCCAATATGGTCTCCTCTGTTTTCTAAAATACCTCATTGCATTGTGGTTTCTCCATGCTTGCAGTGCCCTTCAACACTATCTCCTTCACTCACTTCCTCTAGGCCAGTTTCTGGGACAGAGGCTGGCTGTCTTCTGGTCACTCTGTCTGCTGGAATTGTGCACATGAGGTGGTTTTTTGGGAACTTAGACACGGAGATATATTCTAGAAAGCTGCCTTAGCAGCCAGCTGGCTGCAGCTCCCTGGTTTATCTGCTCCATCTTCCCTTGGAGGCAGAGATGTTTCTCTGCACTTCAGTCTGAATCACCTGGGGGTGCTGGATGTTTCATTCCTTTTCTTTAATGTGGGGTGATCTGAGGGCAGGGCCTTGTGCAGGCGTGTGCTGGGATCCTGGGGGCTTGGTGGGTGAAGCAAGCTGTGGAAGGCAGGTAATTTCCCTGCCACCTCAGGGCTCATGCCATAGGCAGTCACCTTTATCTGCCTTTGTACTCCAAACTCTTAACCTCTGATAACTTCCTATACTTGTTTTTTAACTTCAGTCCATGAACATCAGGATATTAATTGTGTCTGTGTACTTGGGTTAAC